TCATATCAGAAAATTAGAATATTACTGAAGACCAATAAAAACAAAGGCTTTATAGAAATGTTGGCCAACTGAAAAGTATGAACATGAAAAGTATGAGCATGTACAGCACTCAGTATTTAGTTGGGCCTCCTTTGGCCTGTATTACTGCAGCAATGCGGCGTGGCATGGAGTCGATCAGTCTGTGGCACTGCTCAGGTGTTATGATAGCCCAGGTTGCTCTAATAGTGGCTTTTAGCTCTTCTGAATTGTTGGGTCTGGTGTATTGCATCTTCTTCTTCACAATACCCCATAGATTTTCTATGGGGTTAAGGTCAGGAGAGTTTGCTGGCCAATTAAGAACAGGGATACCATGGTCCTTCAACCAGGTACTGGTAGCTTTGGCACTGTGTGCAGGTGCCAAGTCCTGTTGGAAAATGAAATCTGCATCTCCAAAAAGTTGGTCAGCTGCAGGAAGCATGAAGTGCTCTAAAACTTCCTGGTATGTGGCTGCGTTGACCCTGGACCTCAGAAAACACAATGGACCAACACCAGCAGATGACATGGCACCCCAAACCATCACTGACTGTGGAAACTTTACACTGGACTTCAAGCAACGTGGATGAAGTGCCTCTCTTCTTTTCCTCCAGACTCTGGGACCTTGATTTCCAAAGGAAATGCAAAATTTACTTTCATCAGAGAACATGACTTTGGACCACTCACCAGCAGTCCAGTCCTGTTTCTCTTTAGCCCAGGCAAGACGCTTCTGACGCTGTCTGTGGTTCAAGAGTGGCTTGACACAAGGAATGCGACAGCAGAAACCCATGTCTTTCATACGTCTGTGTGTGGTGGTTCTTGAAGCACTCACTCCAGCTGCAGTCCACTCTTTGTGAATCTCCCCCACATTTTTGAATGGGTTTTGTTTCACAATCCTCTCCAGGGTGCGGTTATCTCTCTTGCTTGTACACTTTTTTCGACCACATCTTTTCCTTCCCTTCGCCTCTCTATTAATGTGCTTGGACACTGAGCTCTGTGAACAGCCAGCCTCTTTAGCGATGACCTTCTGTGTCTTGCCCTCCTTGTGCAAGGTGTCGATGGTCGTCTTTTGGACAACTGTCAAGTCAGCAGTCTTCCCCATGATTGTGTAGCCTATAGAACTAGACTGAAAGACCATTTAAAGGCTTTTGCAGGTGGTTTGAGTTAATTAGCTGATTAGAGTGTGGCACCAGGGGCCATCAATTTTGAACCTTTTCACAATATTCTAATTTTCTGATATGATGAATTTGAGATTTTCATTTGTTGTCATTTGTAATCATCAAAATTAAACAAAATAAACATCTGAAATATATGAGTTTGTATGTAATGTATGAATATAATATACAAGTTTCACTTTTTAAATGGAATTACTGAAATCAATCTACTTTTTCATGATATTCTAATTTTATGACCAGCACCTGTACTCCGTAACAAGAAAAACTTTATGGAGATTTTTGTTAAGTGCTTTGCTTAAAATTTTAGGCAGAGAAGATCAAGTCAGCCTTCCTAGATTTCAAACCGTTATTACCAGGTAACTCATATTCATTTCGCAGACAGCAATAAATTAATGTAAAATGCAGTTTATCAATTGGTATATAACAGAAAAACAAACCTAGAAGACAGCAAGCCAATCTTCCTAACTGAACTATTATTTATATATAACTGGATTTCAGTTTCATAATACTTTATTTACCTGATCATAAGTTCCAATTTACTTTGTAAGCCACTGGTAGGTGGTGGCCAATAGAAGAAACTTTTATCTGGTAACCTAATGGTAAACATCCACCAAAAGTTTCCATTGTAACAAAGTCACAACTGTCATAATTGCATGCAGGTTATTTTAAAATGATACACCTTAATCTTGGGATAATTACTCAAAATTGTTCTTGTTGCCAAGTACTATAGTGTAATTTGCTATTTTATTACCATGTTATTACATGGTTATTGATGTACCGTAAAAGAAAGCGTTATCAAATAAATATTTTTCAATAAAGTGTGTTTTTATAATTAGTATAGGATCCCTGTAAAGCATAAAAAGCTATTGTTGGATATGAAGGTGCTTGGGTGTTGCATCATTTGTTTTGCTGTTTTGTTTTGAGTGTGATCAGTCAGTGATCTCAGGATATTAGATTTTCCTGATGCCAGCATTTTCATCACACTGGGGTGCCAAAATAATCAAATCTGTTTTGTCCCAGTTTGGTTGTAACCATTTTTACTGCAGACATTTCTGGTGCCTAATAGTCTTTTTTTAAGAGCTGTGTAATTTGAACTACAGTGCTGTGAAAATGTGTTCGCCTCCTATGAGATCTCCTCTGCTTTCGCTCTTTTGCCAAATATTTCAGACCATAAAGCTCATTTTAATATATTAGACCAAAATATATTAAGCCGATTATGTTCCATAACTTCTTTCAAGGAAGATTATCTTTGAGAAATGAAGCATTACGGGAGCAAATTAAGCAAATATATTAAAGGGATAGATCTGAATTCTTCAGCCTTAGCTTGTAAAAACATTTTAAACAGAAATCTCTTGGTTACTTGGACCCAGCATGAGGCTGGCCACCTTAGAGAAGAAACTAAAGTGTCAGAATAAACTGCTCAAAGTGTTTTTCTTTAGTCCTGAATTAAGATTTCATATTAATATATTTTTCCTTCTGAATATGTGGGGACCTGGATACCAAAGTCTTTTGAGATGACTTTATTACCTTTGGAGCTCGCAAATAATAGCTGATCTCTGTTCAATCAATGGATTGCTGATTGCTGGTTGGTAGTACGGGATTGAAGTGAAGCAACCGGCTGCCATATTGGTACTCCCTTGTTAGACCGGTCGCAGTGTAAACAGTATGTGAGCTACGGCATCGAAAAATTTTCAGGGGGACTTAAGATTTTTAAAATAAAGATAAATTCATCACCTTGGCACACACTGGCTGTTTCTTTTAATTTTTTTATTTTTTTTGGCTGTTTCAAAGCACAAGTAGATTACTTTAAGTTATAATAAAAAAATAGGCACATCACATTGCATAGTCATTATGAAGTCAACGAATTCTATAACTCATATAATACAAGATATCCAAATCCATCACAAGAAAATTGATGTGTTAACGGAGCATAACAATACAGATGTGCCAAAAGTGCAAAATTGATAATGTGCATGTAATATACTTTTATTTATTTATATATACACAGATATATAGAGGTTAAATGATTGAGTTGCTTTTTTTCGTCAAAATAACATGCAATATATTTCAGCAAATGACTTTTTCAAATTAGAAAAACATAAAACACTACAAAAATAACAGCGTCATCCGCTTGATAATAAATTACGATATTGACATTTCACAGTAAATTTCTCTCTATTTACTCTTTCTATTTTCTTACTTTAGACACAATGTCAACGGCTAATTTATCTTTGAGTCAGTCTGACTGCCGGAATAACGTTACGCTACATAATAGACTATAGGATACCTCGGCGTATATGTGGATTTTCTTGGCTAGAACATCCACTGACTGTGAAATTACCGTGGAACGTCTTCCCACAGACGGCAAACTACTTGTTTTTGTCAGCCATATGTTCCACATGTAGGCTTTTTTAGTGTGTGTCTTCTTGAGAGTGGGGAGTACCAACATGGTGGACGGTGGCTTCACTTTTTTCGGGCAATCACCAATCCAGTGAATAAATAGAGATCAGTGGTGTCCTCAGACAGATCCTTTGCCTTTACCATAGTCACACATGAAGAGGGAATGAAATCACCAAAATGATCGTTCATTGGATAACTAATGTCACATGTGTGGAGGGAGTTCATCTTTTTTTATGATTAGCTCCAGGTGAGCCAAATTGGTTTTCCATATTAATTTGCAGCAAAGTGTAAATGTTAGGTTTTCCCTATAATGTTTATCTCTTGAAATGTTCTTTATCACTTGCTGTTTTGTAACAAACACGTAACAAGCTATCTGTAGTAAAATGTTTTATTTTCTAACCTTCAGTAGATATTCCATAAATGTACCTAAACTTCATGGATGCAAATAATGACGAGAGGAACTGCAATGCATAATTTTTATAAAGGAATCACAGTATACCACTGAAACAAAATAAAAAAAATGGTTTATACATTATATAGTTTCTTGAAGTAGTAGCTTCCCTCCAGCTTCTTGTGTTTTTGTTTTATTAAACTCCAGAGATTTTTTGAGCATTTCTTGTCCTTAATGGAGTGAATTTTGTTCTGTTATTGTTGAAAGAAAATGTTTTATAAAAGGAAAGTTGAAAACAAAAAAAATATCCTCTAAATTAAAATTTGAAAAAATGAAGTCTAAACATAACTTTTTTTATAAAAAAAAAGTTTTGAGAGTACCTTTGCTGTTTTCTTCAATTTGTTTATTAAAGTTATTTTTCCATTTTGTTTTATAGATTATGTAGTTGCAAATTTCATTCTTTTTTTTCAAAGATTTGCAACGTCATTTTGTAAAGTTAATTTTCACTGATAATCCTTCTCTTCACTTAAATGCTCAGTCTTGACCCATAAACATGTTTTTGCTAACATTCTTCCAGACCAATAGAAATGCATCTGTGCTCCAGGGGAAGGCGGGCCCAAGAATTTAAAAGAATATGATAGGTAAAACGCAATTTTTAAAGAATGCAATTTGTAAAACTTAATCTGAAAAACAGAAATAAACCCCCCCAAAAAAATTAAAACAACTTCTGAAACAAAATTTGAAAAAATTAAATATCAAAATTGAATTTGGTGAAAAATAATTAATCTGAGAAAACAGGAAAGTTACTCTCAAAACCTTTTACGAAATGTGTTATTTGCTTGCCACAATAATGGAACAAAGTTCACTCCATAGTTTCACAGAACATCACTTCAGAAATTCTGAATTTCCAGTTTAAAGCTTCAAATATTGTTTTATTTTTCTGTAAAGGTTATTTTTTTTCTCTTTGTTTTGGTTTCAGGCTGATAACAGAAGAGCAGCTCACCCAGCAGTCATTGACCCTGCAGAGTCAACTAACTCCTGAACGAGTTTCAACACAGATGCAAACCTACTTCTCTTCGACTAAAGCATCTCTTTAAAAGAAAACATGGGAGGCTTCAATTGACATTGAGGAATTAAAACTTCACTTCTGCAAAGTAAGGATGCTGGGGTATCCTAGATAAACCGTATGATAGGAATATTCTGAGCTCTAAACACACCAAGATGCCACGTGTCTCTTTTGGGCTCCCAGAGTTTTCCTCCAAGTGACTCTGAAGGCGACAACATGACTCTAGCCAAACGGAGAAAATTCAAGACTTTTGCTCTCCTCCTTTGCGTCATCACCTTCACAACGCTCCTGTTCAGCTACACCTTAAGGGACCCCTCACTCTACTTTTTCCGGTACGCGTTCCGGCTTTCGGATGGCTTCTTCTCCAAAGGGCCCTGCTCCTGTCAACGGTGCATCGCAGCTTTGGAAGGAGACCCGTGGTTTGCAGAGCGATTCAACCTGTCTATTCACCCTCTGATGACCAGAGAGAACAGCGTCCTCTCCGAGGAGACCTTTAAGTGGTGGCAGGTATGACCTTTTAAGTATTTGGTTAGAAGTTTTACTGTTTTTGCTTAAAAGAAAAAAGTGCAGATTTGAAAAGCTCATGTACTGCTTTGAAGAGTCTGTTTGTTTTTGGTCACATTGATTGTTTTGAAATCCTAGAAATCTGATCTAGGATAAAGCTACCAAGCACACTGACATGGAGTGAATTTTATTCCATTATGTTACAAGCAAATGTCACATTATATGAATGGAAATTAAAAAAAAATTCCAATCCAGACATGAAGCTTAGAAAAACTTCAGGCAAACATGTTTGAAAGAAACATTGCTGTTGTCTGAAATTGTAATTCTTTCAAATTATATTTTCATATTAAGTCCTATTTTTTATTTATACTTTCGAGTTTCATTTTGTCAAATTAGTCTTTTCAGATTTAATTTTTGAGTGACATTTTTTTATTGTATTTTTGCACATGACATTATCTTTATTTCAAGCCCCTAGAAAAACATTTGCTATGGATCAAACAAAGAAACCAAAGAAAATGATTTAGCCAGCGTATGCCAGAATTTTCTAAAATGCTGACATACGCTGAACATTCTATGAGTTTTTTTCCGTTTTGGGCGTATCCATAGAGTATTCATAACGAGTCCTGAACTTATGTCCAGAAACAGCCTAATTTATTCATATAATGCCCATGAAATGTCACAAGCCATTGTCCTGAGTGGGACAGCAATGCCTGGCCTGGCCTGCATAAAAAGATTACTTTGATCGCAGTATTAACTTAGCTAATGTTTATAAAGAAAAAAAAAAAGAAAGAAAGGGGGTTTGCAGTCGCAGCAGATTCAGCGTCATGTCTGCTAGGAGGTTTGTTGATCGTGGCCGTTGGCTCGAACGTAGGGAGGATCCCATCACACTCACCTTCTCTCTCACCCTACAACTGGAACAGCGACAAATTGATGAGATCATGTTGATGTTTGAGGACAGCTAGTATTTATTCCCATCTCAGCCTTGCCGGTGTAGGTACCAGATCGGCTCGGAGCCCTGCCCCTTCTTATGACCTCAATATATGGCAACTCCACTCGGACAAACTGTAGTGCACCCGTTTCTTAAGGATCACCAGGATTCCAAGCTCTATGCCCTAACCACTAGGCCCCCACCCTCCTCATTATGTAAGATAGGTGGTGGGTACATATTACTGCGCTGGACTTATCCTTACACAGTAGCTAACTTATTCTAGGAATATATTCAGCCATTACTGAACTGTTCCTTTTTTCTCCATCACCAGTGGTTGCAGTCAGAGAGGCAGCCGGCTAACCTCACAGAGGTGGTGGACGAGCTGTTCCAAGTCATCCCAGATGAGGTCCTTTACACGGGCCCCGGTCCCGAGCGCTGCAGGACCTGTGCAGTGGTGGGGAACTCTGGGAACCTGAAGGGGTCTCATTATGGGGGCCTGATCGACTCCAGTGATTTCATCATAAGGTGATTTAAACTTTCCGTCTGTGGTTTCGTTTCGTCATGACTGCGTCTCTTTTAGTCGCCTTTTAGTCAGACAATGAAACGTTTGCTCTGTTTGCTCTCTTCAACCAAATCTTCTTGATACAATTTAGCTCTCAATACAAACCAAACTATTGTAGCTCTTGGTGATGTCATGAGAAGGGACAGATGGACCCAGTATTCAAGGCGAGACAGTCAGTAGGAAAGTTCAAAACGTTTATTAAATAAATAAAACCAAACAAAAGCGGAGCTGTGGCTCGCGGAAACTGCAGGCGGGGGGGCGGGGCACCGCCCAATCTCAGACATTCTGTAGGCGGAGAAACACAGGTAAGTGACCACGATCATCTGACTGAAGATGATTTTCTCAGTGAGTCACTTACCTGGTTTAGCAGTCCAGACCAAGAATGTCCCAGTGCTGCAGTTCCAGAGGTCATGCTGGAAGCCGATCCTGGTGAGGGATCCAGAACAGACAGAAACAGGCAGTAGCAGAAACAGGTGGCAGGATCCAGACTTCCAGGCATCCACAGGCTCCCAGGAGGGAGCAGAGTCTGACTTGGACCAGAAGCATGACCAGGTGGTCACGCACAGGAGCAGACAGGATCAGGTGCAGATGAGCAGGCATAGTGGAGGAGGGTAGCCGAGACAGGACGTGGAACCGGAACTTGAAGCAGGACTTTAAACTGGTCTCCTCCCTGGAGCCAGGCTTACTGAGATAAAAACTGAACCTCCCCCCATAATGAGCCAAAAACCCAGAGGACTCCGCAGGGGAGGAACAGTGGACGATCAGGAGACGAGACAAACACTAAAACCCTCTTTCCACTGGCAGCTAGGATCCAGGACAGGAACCTTGAACTAAAACGGACAGACTGACAGAAAGACAAGCAATGATCTGGCACTGAATGCTCAGGCTGAACTGAATATAAACCAGAGGAAACAGGTGAGAGGAATAAATTATAATTGAGGCAGGGAAGGAAGAGGGCAGGTGAGAGGAATTACTAATTAAGGGAGAGCAAACAGGCCAGATCATGACAGGTGTATGTTAGCTTTGTCATGCAATAGGATTTTGAAGACTCCCTAGTATTTAGCACCATTAATCTTGTCTAAATAAAAGCATCTCCAATGCAGGGTAGATAATGCTATGGATTACCGAGGGACTGAAGCTTTTAAGAAAGTTTTTTGTGGAGAGGTTCTCCCACCTGAGTAGTACATCTTTGTAGCTTCTCTGAAATTTGCTGAACAACAATGGATTAATCCAAATACCTTAAATTGTAGCTCATAGTTCCTAATTCTCCACCTTTCACAAAGCCATCACTAAGAAGACTATCCAGTGTTGGAAAGAAGCTCTGAAGCCCTGTAATGAGTCCTTCACCTTAAAATACGTCATTGTGCGGTGGACATGCAAAAAAAAATTATGCTTGTTAAATTTGGGTTACAGCCTTAAAGAAAAGAACTACATAGAAAAGCTACAAAGATTTAGCTAATGACTAAAGCTTTTACTCGGTCTTCTCATGAATCCAAACATGAAACGCCTTCATCCTTAAACTACTTAGGGCTTTTATCTCCTCTTTCTTTCATCTTTTCTCCCTTTTTTTCTGTTTTTCATTTCCTGTTCTAATTTCCCATTGCAGTGTCCATATAATCTGTAATACTCCCTGCATGAATTATAATAAAAGTACTTATATGCATAAATTAAGCGGAACACTATGGCGATAGCCGTACTGCTCCACTTGTGAAAGTAAAATCTTTTGGGCTCTTTTTGGCATCAAGACAATTATTCTTATTGCCACATAGTCAGACAGGACAATGTTAAAAAAAAACGACTTTACTTTACTACTCTACATCTTTTCACAAGGCTGAATCCTCCAGCTGCATGTCATGTGACGCACATGATGATAAAAGGGTTTCCATTGCAAAATTGCGAAACATGATTTCGTAAGACCATAAAACAGTAAAACCACCTCATCAAAGCGAAGCGTTTTTTATTGCAGTGTTTCCATTTAGTGCATTTATTTTGTAATTACAATTTTTGCAATTTGATGGGTAAATGGGATAAAAACATGCAGGAATTTACTTAGACTTAGACAGATTTGTCATTTTGTTTACACAAGCGTAAAACAAAAATACTTTTCGCTTGGAACAGCTTTCTGGAAAATTTCATCTTTTTTTAAAAGTGCAGCCTTGAAAAATAGTAAGAAAATATATATATATAAACTGAGGATAATCCCAACAGCTCCAGAGATAATGGCTACAGAAAATAAATAGCAAACAAAAGAAATAAAACTAATTAAAACAGAGAAGAATACTAATAAAGAGAGCAAACCTATACAAATCTAAGAGTCTCTGTGTTCATTATCTGTTTACATCATGTTCACTTCAGTTAGCATTTTATACCTATGGCTCTTTCTTTATGCCATCCATGGATCCTGTATAGATCTGCTAGCTGAAGTCACCGCTATTTTCTCTGGTTTCATTTACTTCATTTTATTCCTTGCATCATTTTTTTTTTTTTTTTTTGCCAGTGTTTGTTTTAATGACCTCAAGATGAAGCTACAGGAGCAGGATTCACCTTGAGGTTGGGGAAGCGTTTGCTCTCTGCAACCTTAAGCAGCTCCACATGCTCCATCTTCAGCATCAATCATTCATATCAAAAACATCCAGGTCCTTCCCAGCGTGGGCTGTATATTACCATAAGCAGCATCTCCACCTCATTCTCCATTTACACGAATGGTTATTATGCATTAATAATATGAGGATGTATTGAAAGCATTCTGTTCCCAGGGTGGCTGGGTTATGTAACATCTGAGAATTCAAAATAATCCACAAAGCCACAAGATCTGTGTGTGAAATACACATGAACTTAGTTGTTTTCCACGTAAATTAGATATTTCTGTTGACATATAATAAAAACCCAGATTTAAGTGTCCACTAAAGGATTGAAACTTATTAGTTCACATATAAAGTAGTGGTGGGACTCGATCAAGTGTCTGTAATAAATTTAAATTACCGTAATCAGATTGTCATTTAAACATATATATTGACGAAATAAATTATTTTTTGTCCCTAAACTATTAAAAAATATGTGCACACTAACAAATATTGCTTTTAATCCATTGTTTAGGTCAGAGTTCTTCAACAGGGGGTTCGCGACCCCTAGGGGGTCCACAGAGGCAATGCATGGGGGTTCCGAAAGTTTTGGTTTATTAGACTTTTTTTTTATTATTCCCCCCTGCAATTTATTCCACTAATTGAAAAGTTTTTGAATCCACATTAACATGAATTCAACACAGATAGTAAACAGATAAATGGAGGCAGATGTCTTTCAGTCATCAATGCACACATTCAGCGACACACAGGAGCTCTTTCAAGCTGGACACCGTTTAATTCACAACACCTGTCCCATCAACCAGGAATCAGAATCAGAAATACTTTAATAATCCCAGGGAGGGATTACTTGCATTACATTACTTCATCTGTACCATAGTGACTATGGGACCAGTTTGATATACCGTAAAACAATATATATAATTAGGGGGTCCCCGCTCCATCTCGCCATCAGTTTAGGGGTCCTTGGCCTGGAAGGCATTGAAGACACCTGGTTTAGGTTATCAAACTATCAGACTAGTTGAAAGTTTAAATAATTTTGCCTTTTTTTTTAACCAACTCTAAAGGTTTTATGTAATTTCTTAAAAAAAAAAAAAAAACTTCTATTAGAAGCGTGAGCTGTAGCTTAGATGAACATTCATTTTAGCACAGTTCATTCCATTGATCTCGATGTTTACAGGCCGGGGAAGCTGTGTCACAGCTGTGGACGCTGACATTAGTGGGGCAAACCACCAGTGGACCAAAATGTGTGATGCTGTTTAGGCATCAGATTCATTAGTATGCATGAAATAAAGAACACGTAAGGTCCCGCTTATTATTTTAGTATGTGTTTTTCTTTGTTTTTATTTTATTTTTGAAAGGCAGTTAATTGCTTTTATTTTGTTAATACGTTAAAATTAATGTATTTATTAATCACAATTAAAGTTAAAGTCTCGGCCCTAAAACAGAGATGAAGAAAGAAAGAAATTGGACGACTCAGGTTTTTTTTAAAGCCTGTTAGAGACAATTGTGTTGTTAATCATAAGTCGGTCAGTAATGTATAATTATTAAGTGCCTTTCATAGATAAAACAATCACAAAGCGATTAACAGAAAACAGTAAAATGTCAACTAACAAGATAAAGCTACATTACTCACAGCCTCTGAAAGGTTAGATCACCCTTTGTTATGATCTACAGGCTCTGTAAAACGCAATTTGACAAGAATGAAATTCGTAAAACTCTATCTAAAAAAGCAAAAAATATAAAATTAACAAAAAATCTGAGAAGACAGTAAAGTCAGCAGTAATAAAAAATAAAATAAAACATTTTAAAATAGATCTGATGAGTATTTTCAGTAATGAATGTGCTCCAACACAGAGTTGTGCTGATTTAAGGTAAAATTTATTCACTAAACCACATAAATAATGTAATAAATTAGGACATTAGCATTTCAATAATTCATAGTTAAACTTGTGCTTTCAGGCAGAGTTAAATGGGAGCTCGGTCTGCTTTTAATCTGTCACACAAATTGAATCTTGGCAGCGCAGAAGAGGACAGGGTTCCTCCCAGATGGGTTCTGTGTGTTAATTGTGACGTATTAAAGTGCATGTTGTGTAATAACAGCTCATCTGGATGTTAAAGTGCTAAATAAGCTTCCTGACTGAAACTCTGTGGTCAGATCAGTGACAAACATGACTTCTGGCTGTTCTGGGAGGATGTGTGAAGCCTGCAGGGCTCATCCAGCCACAGGCTTCATTTGGATGCAAAAATAAAGCCTGTTTAATCCTGCTGCTTACTTATTTATCAAGAATCTAAGAAAATCAACTTTTAATCTGCATCCTGAGAGAGTTTGTGCACAATTGTGGATTATCTTCAGATGTTAACAATACTTTTAACAGCACAAT